AATAATAAACATGATCATTTGATTATTGAATTAAATGCTAAAGAGTTGGCTACGTCAAATTTTATAATGGTTACATTACGATCGCCGGTTGAGTCATGTTATACACCCGAACCAATCAATATAATTGATTTCTATATGAAAAATAATACGGGCATACATATTAGATATAAACTAACCGTGGTCAAATCACTGGTTAACCCTTGTCGCGGCGATAATGATCTAGCCTATCTGGATTATTGTGCATTAATGAGATGTTTTATTAAGCAGGGACAAAATAGTAAACAATTAGCGCACCATGAAATAGGGTATCATAATAATAGCCAGTGTTATAATATAAACAATTTATATTTTAATGAGAGTGATCAATGGAGTTTTAAGAAAGCAATGCATCAATGTGGCGATAAATATTACGATTACTATAAAAATCATCTATGTATTAAATATTATTATACAACAGATTACAAGTTTACAGAATTTAATAATGATAGTTATCATGATGTTTATGATGGGTATCCAATTGCGATCAGACAATGGGGTTCAGAGCCGACCACTGTATACGAGATATCATTGAAAATGTCTGCCGAAGAATACATTAGTCTAACGGCGAGTGTTATTAGTCTATGGTTTGGATTCTCTATCATTTTGTTTATGCATAACTTATGGGAAATGTTGACCAAAATAAATGTTCAATATTATTTCAACAAGGTGACATATTTTATTAACAATTTTTATTCCCAACAAAACATTTCCATTAGGGTTGTAAACAGTCATCGAATTATTTTGGGTAATGTGAATACAAATTGAAGTTAGGTAAATGTTATTTATTTTAAATTCCTGCTATCTAATTTACCTTATTATAATACTGAGAATTACATTAGAAATTTACACAAATGTATAAACTGCTGCAAAAATAGGTATTTATAACGGCATAAATATATTTTTATTTATTAATATTGTGTAATATAAATATGATGTGTATTATTGATTTTTATGGAGCATAAAATATAGATATAGTGGTAACTTATTTTAATATTTATTATTTTATTATATTTACATCAATACTTAATTATTTATAATATAACACAACAAACAATACTATTAATACTGTCTGGAATAAAATATTATTATTCTTGAAACTGTGACTAAGAATTGTTAAGATAATATTCACATAGATGTAAAATATCACATTCTCGTATATTCTTTAACATAACAACAATGGCTTTAAAATTTAAAACAATATTTAAAATAATATCATACGTGGTATGTTTGATGGGATGTGTGTATCAAACGTATAAAATAAGTTTATTATTTCTCATTAATGCACAATAATCCAGATAGGCTAGATCATTATCGCCGCGACAAGGGTTAACCAGTGATTTGACCACGGTTAGTTTATATCTAATATGTATGCCCGTATTATTTTTCATATAGAAACCACAACTAATGTCATATATAAGTTAGATGCGGAAACCATCATGATGCCCACAATTGCCCTGTGTATGGATAAAATGGCAGTAATTAATAAAAGTAATTACATATTCAACAGTACATCATTCAACCAACTTTCAATTGGCGATCAGTTTACCATGATAAAACCACTCAACCAATGGGTTAGGTGTAATTTATTTGATGCTAATCATACCAACTTTCCTTGCACAAATGTTTATGAATTTAACCAAACATTAAATTATGATAAATATTGCATAACCTATATAAACAAACTAAATAACAATAATAAATATAATTATATGATTATCGAGTTAAATCCTAAAATGGTGGCTACATCAAATTTTCTATTTATTAGCCTACGATCGCCCGTCGAGTCAATTTATTCACCCGAGTCAATGTTTTATGTTGTTTTTTATTTGAAAAATAAAACAGGTATGATGATTCATTACAAACAAACCGTGGTTAAATCATTGGTTAAACCTTGCCATGGCCAAAATGATCAAGCTCATCTAGATTATTGTGCATTTTGTAAATGCTTTATTAGGTGGAGATACAATGGCACACAATTAGCGCAACGGGAAATATCATATTATAATAATAGCCAATGTTATCACATAAACAACCTTTATTTTGATGAGAGTGATCAAGACATTTTTGCTAATATATTACATCATTGTATTGCTAAATATTATCTTTACTACAAAAGTAAACTATGTACTAAATACTATTATTCATTAGATTATAAGTTTATTGAATCAGATAATGATAGCTATAATTGGTATCCAATTGGGATCAAACAATGGGGTTCAGAGCCGACGACTGTATACGAGATATCATTGAAAATGTCTGCCGAAGAATACATTAGTCTAACGGCGAGTGTTATTAGTCTGTGGTTTGGATTCTCTATCATTATCTTTACGCATACCGTATGGGAAATGTTGGCCAAAATAAATGTTCAATATTATTTCAACAAGGTGACATCATATTTTATTAATGTTAATAATTGTTTTTATCAGCAGCAAAACTTTACCATTAGGATGATAAATAATCCTAGAATTAGTGTTGGCAATGTGAATACAAATAATTAATCTATTGAAATAATTAATATAATTAATCTAGATCATATTGTGTTTAATTATTTATAGTGTTGGGTAAAATGAGAAATTTCCAAAAATTACGAGAAATTTCTAACAAATTTCTCAAGAAATTTCTTCGTCTATGGGAACCCCATTATATTCTATGTGATCGTTCTTGACGTTATATATGACCGTACCCCCTATTTGGTCCTATTTTATAGTATTTATTACTTATAGTTAGTTTGTAATTGTTAAACAAGTATTTATACTTAAATTGTGCAATATATTTTTTAATTTGTGGTTTATATAATAGATATAGTTTAATAAATATAAACACTTATACACAATTACAAAAGTTTAACTATGAATAAATTATTTATTTGTTATAATTGACTACTGTTAAAAGTTTATACAAAATGATTCATTAAATAATAGTTTAATAAACAATTAGATCATTTAATTAATAACAAATTAATTGTGTTAATATATATTTCGTAAGTTAAAAACAATTTTATAAATAATAGTTAATTGATTTTATGTTCAAAATAGTATTTTGTTGGCATTTCAAGCTTTCAATGCACAATGTCTATGGGAACCCCACAGTAAACTATGAACTTTTTTAATAAACATGTGTTTTATTGTCATGTTGATTTCACAATTAATTAAGACTTTTTTGTGTTTATTTAAATTAAACTAATCTTATGGTCATGTTAAACATCCTAGACACTCTATTTTACTTCTAATTATGGCTTTATTTTATTTAAGAAATCGCATAATTTGGTATTCTATGGGAACCCCACGTAATCCAATGTGTTTTATTACAGTACACACGAATATACAAAGGTCTCACATAAATTACATGAGTTAATTATTACGTTATTTTATGGGTCTTTCTATGGTATTCGAGCAAATTTTATGTATTTTTGTGTGTTTTATCATTTCAGTGCATGCATTAGTAGTGAATAAACACACATTTAATTAAACATATTTTGTTTTTAAGTATATTAACTTAATTATTCAATGTTTTGATTAAATTTCTCGGAGAAATTTGTTCAGGAGAAATTTCTAGAAATTTCTACCGAGAAATTTCTAAGAAATTTCTTTTGGGCCAACACTAATTATTTACAAATTATTTTATTTTAATTGTAGTTAAAAATTGTATTTAAAATACTTGTCATTATATATTTTGATGCGTGAATTATATAAATTATTAAACTATTGTTATTTTAATTCAGCTGATTACAATAAATATAATAATTAACCTGTTGAAGTTTAAAAGTTTATGTGAATGACATTTAACTAACATTAATTATCATTTTGCTTTATCGACACTAAACAACATTAAAACATTTCGCAAACCATTAATTACCACACTTTGATCATGTGTATAAATATTTATTTAGTATAAATAGTTACTATTTATAGATAAAGTAAAAAACCTAATAACTTATTATAAACTTTATCTATCAATAATATCAGTAATATGCAAACAATCAATGTACATTGACAGTGGTTTTAATTGAGCAAAATAATTAAGCAACCTTTATCGTGAACTTCAAACTAGATCATTCAGATTAAGCTCGTTTATACTAGCTTAAAACAAATACACTGTTTATATTAATCCTATCTTTAAATGTGTTTTTGTATAAAATATTTTATTAATTTCGAAATTGAAAACACTTTTAGTTAAGTTTTCGCAAATTATGTTAAATTTTTATTTTTAACTTTTAATTAAGAGATTTAATAATTTTGTAATTTTATTAATGCATTACTAATCAACAATTTTGTATAACAACATGAAACTATTTTCAGGTATGTTTGTAAAAATTCACATTTATTATTAAATTACTATAATAGAAAAATTTTGCAATTTATATAATTTACCTTCATTTGGTATTTAATAAATTCTGTAATTTAATACAATATGTGCACTTATATTTATTAACTAATTGCAGTAAACCTCCTTTGATATAAACTTTTTAAAAATTATTTACATTCTTAATATTGTAAGTTTCTATACAATAAAATTACCCTAAAAAGTTATGCTAAAAAATTTTCTAATTAGTAATTAATTAATTGAATATTATTAGAAAAATATATAATGCTTAAAGGTTAGCAAAAATTGTTAATGTTTTATTGTATTTATAAAATTAATTATAGTTTACGTTATTAAAATATTTAATAACTACATTGACATTTGTGCGATACAACCTGTTGCCAAAATAAACATTGTTACATCTATTTAAATATTTACCATTCACTATTAAATTTTAAAATTATACGCTTGTACTTGAATACCTGAAGACAAAGAACATGGTACAAAAGAGATTCAAATTATATAAATGTAAATCAAATTACAAATATTTTATATAACTTCATATATAAACTGAATGTTCGAGTAAAAATACCCACATGCCTCTTTTGTGTTTGGCTATGAGTTTAAATAATGTTACAATTTTATAATAATCTCAATTAATTGGTAGACAAAAGTATGCCTTCATATGATGTGTCGCCGATGGATGAGAAGCTGAAGGCCGGACACCCGATGGTCAACAAGTTGGCCAACAATTGGCCAAAATGTGTTTACACCGCGATCTTTGTCTACACACACATCGCGTTTGTAATTAATTTCACTACTAATTATACTTATTAATAATATAATGTCAATAATTGTATACTTCATAATTACTAATTGTTCATAACATTGATCATCAGGGCATGACTATAACAATGTACCCACCGATAATGGTTGATATGAAGTACATTCTTCACACATCCATACGCTATGTATCGCTTTATACCACGTTTCTATCGGCGGGTTATATGTTGGGCACTGTTTGTAAGTATTAAACCCTGTTTACAACCCTGTATAGCCTGATAATAAAGCTCATCCACATTTCTTAACTATACTTTATAGTTGGCTACCTATACGAGTACATTAACCGCCAGTTGACTGCCATAGTATTCCTGACACTAATGACAGTGGGTTCGGCGCTGACACCCCTATCGCCGGACCTGTGGTCACTGTACGCGTGCGCGTTCGCCATAGGTATGGGCGCCGCCGTCTGGAACACAATGGCCAACGTATGGCTGATTGAGATGTGGGCCAATCACAGCTCACCCCTTCTACAGCTACTGCACTGCGGTTTCGGCGCCGGTACCATCATATCGCCGCTCATACTTAAAAGCCACCTGGTGGGCGAGACACGTTACCATGGTACGGTTGATAATAGTACTGTTAGTAACTATACAATGGACGGCAATTATAGCCAGGGTTTGGAAAAGGAGTTTAATGAACGCCGGTTGGGTCTGGTCATACCGTTTCAAATCAACGCTGCCATTCAGATATTATGTAAGTTGACAGTTGCGATGTTGACCGTGATTATTTAATTTATTTAATCTACTTTACCCCACACGCACGCGCAGCACCGATAGCCATGTTGATTATGTTTGTATTTAAACGCTACGAACCGCCGCCGTCGCCGTTATCGTCGGCGCCGGCAGTGTTGGACACCAACGACAATAACGTGACAAAACCTGTGCCGCCGTCCGGCAAACTACTCGACCGGTCGGGTGTGTGGCCGCGGCGTTGGTCTATAGCCCTGTTTTGCGTTTGGCTGTCCGCCTATTGTGTGGCCGAGAATACCCTCATGGGGTTTGGGGCCACGTATTTCCAGTTCTGCCCCCTCCGGCTCACCGCCCAGGAGGCGGCCCAACTGCTTTCCACGGCGGCCATAGCGTTCACAGCGGGTAGAGGTCTCAGCGTATTGACCGCGATCTATTTCAAACCCCAACAGATGATTGGCTATCACTTTGTGCTGTTGATGATATCGGTGGTGGCCCTGTACGCCGGCCAATACAACCTTAATGTATTACGCGTGTCTACAGTGATGGCTGGGTTAGGTTTGTCGGCCATGTGCCCAGCCATGTTCGCCTACCTGGAACAATATGTGACCTTTACTAACCCTATGGGCGCAATAGCTATAATGTCATCGGATTTGATAAATATGTTAAATCCATATATTTTGGGCGTTTTTATTGAGAAGTTTTCGGAAATTGTACTGATTTTTGAGTCCATTTATGTCACACTTTGTTTAGTTTTGTTTATATCGTTTGGTATTTTTGTGCGAAAGTTGTCAAATAGTGGTGAAACTCGGCTTAATAATACTGTTAAAACAATATAAATTATTTAATTCAATTTTAGTCAATTATTTTCAACAATATTAATTGTATATACGTGTGTCATAGTTATATTCAAGATCTGATTTAACAAATTTCCATTTTTATTATAATAAAATTTTATTTATTTATGGCAAATAAAACAGTAATTTATTTAAATAAAAGTTACTCCACAAACGATCGCAGTGGATTTTTAATAATAATTTCATTATCAGATAGATCATCCTGTCTAATTAAATACTACGTTATGTTTATTGATCTTATTAACCCTGATCATATTAACAAATAAATTAGCATTTTACAATTTTTAATAATGTATTAATTAATACATGTATAATACATGTATAATTAATGTATAATAAATGGTCACATAATAATATTAGTTATAAAATAATGACAAAAATTAATCTAATCTATACGTATATACTGTAGCAATTATTTGAGACCAATTATAACAAAATTATTTGACAATTGTCGAGCGCACCGGCCGTCCGGTGCTGTCAAACACATACACCAATAAAAGTCGCCGCAAACGGGCGAACGGCAACTCAAACACCGCCGCCATAGCCGTCATCGCCACCCAATTGAGTCCAACGGCGACCATCATTACAATCACCGGCGGAACCATACGGTACAGGCGGTCGGGCAGAGCCGAGTACAGGGATCGGCAAAACAACACGTGCAACAGGTATGAGGTATAGCTAACTGCGCGATACGGGCGCCACCAGCGCGACGATAGTATACGGCGACATAAGCTGTGATGAGCACAGGTGTCGGCCACCCGTGTAATAGCGTAGCCACCGATAAGTGTCGCGTACGCCGACAGACAAACCCGCTCTACGGCCACAAACATTGGTAAAGAGGTTACAGGTGTCGCCTCTAAGCTAAGACATAGCGCACACCACACGGCCGTAACCACTGTTGAATATGTCACCAGTTTTGGCCACAAATCCCACGAACGTATTGACTGCCAGTAATGTTTATCGGAGACTAAATAGCCCAGTAGTAG